AGAGATAATCTTCAAAAAATATGCCAAAGAATTTTTTTTCAAATCATAATAAACATTTTCTATTAAATTTGAAGTTTTTGTGTTTTTTCCTTAAAATGATGGGACCCTCAAAATGAATCACTTTTTACTAATATCAGCCAAATTACCTTGGGATATCTTGTCATATGAAAATGGTTTCCGTATGAGGACTTGAATTTTATCGATAAATTTATATTAGATTTATATATTATAGTGGTTCTATATGAATAATAAACATATGTGGATTATTGTAGCGTTATCTTGGATAATAATAATTTCTGACAAATTTTGTGTAGATATGTTATATACAATATTGATATGATCTGAATAATATGTTTTGAAAATAAATTATTTTCCTGCACAATCATTTTTTCTAAATTTAGTGAAGACATCCTATAAAATACAAAAGTTTTCCAAACAAGAACTTTAGTTGAATCGTTTGTTTGACAGTTATATGCTATAAAGGTGCAATATAGGCCATTCCGACAAATGAGCAGCTGCTCATAAAGAAAAGGGTGTTTGCAAAATTACAGGTGGATATCTCAAAAAGTAGTTACAGCAAGGTCTGGTCAGCGCATCATATGTGAAAGCTTGTTTCAAGAGAACTAGATAGAAACCTTTTTCGAATATGGAATAATATGGTAATATTAGGAACAATTACCATTGTAAACCACCCTTACTACCATATATTAATTCTCAATTTATAATAAATTAATATTTTGTAGCGCCAACTCTGTGTTGTGATTTAAATCCAATTACTTACGCTACTTTCAATCTGAACTTTTACACATTTCGCAATTTGAAAAAAAGTGCGCTTTAATTAACACTTCCTCTGACTTACAGAGACACAATGAGTCGAGTGAGCGGCTTGAGTTAAGGAAACTGTCATGTCACATGATACAAGTGGAGGTGTGCACATCGAAAACATAGCATTCAAATACCGATTCTTTTGTGGGCTTTCAAGAATTTCCTTGCCTTATGAATGTGCTCATTTAAGCGTTTGTATGTATATGTGTGTGTATAGAGCCACGCTGAGTACTTGCAAGCGGCTGATTTGGATAAAGACATTAATCTTGATTGCAAATAATAACACTTGCTTCCTCAATATTCGACTTATATGATATAACGCACGGTTGCAATATATATCTATGTATGCATATAATGTACTTAAGTCCGGAGCCACGTGAAAAGCGCAGTATGATACTTATCAAGACTAACGAGAAACCTTTCGATATATAATATTTTTGTTGTCTTATTAAAACATTAATTCTTCAATTTAAATAAACTCATCTCAACTAGTAAGGACGCGGGAGCTCCGACGCGGCGTTGACGATGCAGCTTGTAAATTTGTGCCACATTCGTTTTTGTGATTTATGTCGAAAGTTAATATGTACACTTATGCAGTAATCTTGCAGGCGTTGATTGATCTAAAATGCGCCGCACTTTGGACTAAAACAGAAAAAAACGTTAATTTCGCTGGCATCAAAGCTAAAATACCCTTCACAAATAAGAAATATTTATTTTGCTTCTTGCTAAATTGCGTGCAGATATCTCGTCAAATGAAAAATTGTTATTTAAAAGCACTTGATTCCGATCGTTCAGTGGTATATTCAGTTTGCCACGGAGCAAAGCATGTGTGTGAAACCTTAGAGCGATATCTCAAAAACTCAGGGATTAGTTGATGTATATTCGGATCGAAGGACAAACAGACGGGCACCGATAGGTCTACAGATCTTATACTCGTGTATACATGTTTTATAGGGATCCTAACTACTTTCTGGGTGTTACAAACTTTGTGACAAACATCATATACCCTGTTCTGGGTATAATAATAAAAATGTACCAAAACTTCATACACATATTCACATTAGTGAGAATCAACTGCCTTTATGAATCAATGTCTGAATTTGGTATCCCCCTAAAACTAATATGGCTGTGTAAACTAACGTCGAGCAATACCAAAAGCTCCGTCAGAATCGGGAAGAACCTCTCTGAGCCGTTCGACACCAAACGAGAATTTTAGACAAGGCGACTCTCTATTGTGCGGCTTTTTCTATCTACTCCTGGAGAAAACAATTCGATATTGATAACATTGTACTAGTATTTAGATAAGGAAGCGAAGCAATTGGTTCTGGTAGTGAACAAGGACAAAACGAAATGTCTCCTGTCATCAAACCTCACAGTTGACAGTTTTAACTTTGAAATCGTAGATAATCTCGTTTATCTTGGAACCAGTATAAACACCAACAACAATGTCAGAGTTTTCGAAAGAAAGGTTCTGTGGAAAATTTATGATATTTTGCACACTGGCAACGGCGAATATCGTGGTCGATAGAACAAGAACTGTGCGAGAAATACGAATGGATGAAACCTACTCTAACTGTAGTCAAAACCATAATACATATAATACTGATTCTATTCCTATTCCTATTCTTATGTTGTCATGCTTTGGCCTAAGCGTTGACAATTCTTACTGTACTTTTGTCATGCGCTGTGACACTATTTCTTAGAAATACATTCAGATAAAAGCAACTCTTCCTAGCTCTCAGTAAGCAACCACTCTAGGTATCGACCCACTTTAATGTATCTACATTTCGTTGCATTTGAATTGTCATCAGCACAGCGTGAAGAAGAATTGTAGGCATGCGATAAATAGCGTTTCGTTTTTTTTTTTATTCCTAAATAGATGACAATTGTCCAGTTGAAAACAATTTGATAAAAATCATGCAAATTTTCAATGAAATCCATTCACAGCTGAAATCACTTATGAGTCAAGCATATTCAACCAATTATTTACTTTCTATAAACAGAGTTCCTTAAAGCGCGCGGTGGTGTTTTTAATACGGTTCCAAATATACGAAATATATGATTCAATAATATCACATATACATATTTACCGTGAAGTTAGGATGGCTTAAAAAACTACAAGGAACTAGTAGGCCTAAATATAACTGTTTTATTTCCTGTCTTGAATTGCATGAAATATTTTATTTATTAATATAATCAAATATTTACAAGGTAATGCGAATGAAGATTTTCTTATAACACCTTAAACGTGGTATATTAAGTTTGCCACGGTGTTTGCTCAAAAATAAAAATCGTAGGAGACCATATAAACTACATATGTATATTAATTGTCGGCATTTTACCTGTTGGTCTGTATATAAGCAAATTAGTCCCTTAGTTCATATTATATCGAACGCGTTCTTTTCTCATCAAGAAGCTTCTGATCCGTCGGAACTGCCATTATCGGACAACTCTAGCATATAGCCGTCATACAAACTGTTAGATCGAACTCAAGTCTTTTATTTAACTAGGTAATTAGGTATTGTGATCTCTTAATTGGGAACTAGTTGGGTGATGTCCTTGTAAGAATAAAGGCTGACATCATCGTCATCCAAGAAGTGGATGGACAGCACAAGGACAGTGGCTATATAAAGGAGTTAAAATTCGGTGTGGGATTCACGGATCAAAGTGAATTTCTTAGAGCATCTAATTTCTAAGGCTCCTTAAATCCAGCTGCAAACGAAACCATTGGTTCCCGAGAAAAAAAAAACAGCTGGTCTACCTCGCAACGGTTCCATCAACCTCAACACCTTCGTGATGGGGAGATACCTTTGTATAGTAGTGTTGTAGCGAAACGCATTTCCAGAGCTTAACATGCTGGCCAACAGAGGTAATGCTCGAAAATTCTACGAAAAGATGCGGCTTCTTGTAAATTAGATATGATCTAGTGACTGATACTCAGAGCATGCTAAAATTATGGAGGGAACACTATTGAATGGCAGTAATGGCGTAACATCAGGAGGTGGCGAACCCGATTCCATAGGAAGAAGAAGCCTCCAAACCGTTGGAAAGACCAGGCGTTGAAAGACCTGGGTATAATTGACACAATGAGCGAATAGAAAGAATGACTGATGCACTGTCGTAAATTGGTTACAAACTAACTTCACTGAATCGGGAAATGGTTAATAGTCAAAGAAATGTTTTGGCAGAAGCTAAGATTTGATAGTGTTACTTATTACAAATATCCTATAACTAAAGACATTCAAATTAATGACCAAACATTTAACGAAAGTTCTTGAAAGCAATGCTAAACAATTTAGTCTATAACATACCTAAAGCTGTTGTAACTAAAAAATCTTTCAGTATATCATAAATATCTACGACATTGGAAAGGTCGAGTTCTGGAGGTCTTTCGAACAACTATAAATAATAAAGAAGGTGCTTAAAATATTTTTGTAGATACTTGACTACATTTCGTTGCACGGCTGTATGTCATTAGGGTGTATTAAAAATTAGGCTCAGTTTTCTCTTGCATAACGACTATGTATGACTCCAAATAGAATAGCAACTTCATTGTAAGTGTTATGTAAATATTGGGAGAGTATTTGATAGGCTGGAATATAAGTTGAAACCACCATACGATGAAAGCCATTTCGGCTTCGAAAATTTTTACTTTTCGAAATGATTGAATAAGCTCATGTTTGTTAAATATTAATAAGTGTCATTTAATATAAAAATCCTAATTTATTTTAGCACAATGAATTAATACATAGAATATTCTTTATAGCGTAGAGGTAAAGAAGTAATCAATCATTTTGACAGCATCGAGACTTTACTTTCATATAAATATTAAAAAATAAAACATAAACAAATTATATATTTTTTAGCACAAACTAAATTAACAATTCAATTATATAATTAGCTGAGATCACACTGTTGAATGACGCATACAGCCGCCGTTACATTTTCATCCATTAATTTGCAGAACTGTGAACTATTTCTATTTAGAGCTCAGCGCATTTACTGCGATCTACAGACACCAGACACTACTTATTTCAGCGCTGTGCACTACAGTCGCATTCAAATTAATGGAATATAAAAGCATTTAGACTCTAAGCACAATTATTTCATTTATTAAATATTTAATGTCAAGCTGCATGACAGTTGTAAGAACACAAACACCGTTAGATACACACTTTTGCTTAAACTGCTGCGGAGCGCCGTGTAATTGATAAAAGATTTGCTGCCTCCAAGTGCATTTAAAGTACACTGTAATTTAGAACTGACACAACAACAATATATATGTATATATGTATTTTGATATGTTTTTATCAAACTAAAAAGGAACTTGAGGGCCCGAAACACCTGTGGCTATATGATAAGCACAACGAACCGCACGAACGCAGCGCAGAACCGCAACTGATAATACGCGGGCCGTCCGATCGCGCTGGATCCCCAAAAAAACAGTCCAACTTTACTGAAATCAAGCTGCATTGTACACACACTCACGAATATGTATATGTATGAAAGTATGTCTGTATGAATGTGTGAGAGCGGTTGACTATGCGGAGCGCAAATGGCACGCCGGAAAAAGCTAGCTGGAGCAACGCAAGTAGTTTGCGACACTCGCCGGTTTCTCGCATGCGATAAAAATGTTGGCGTTTCATGAATGAACGAGCCAAGTGAATCATATGCTGACTGTGAATATTAATAAATTACCTTTGCTTTCACACACACACACTTAAACTTTGAGTATTATTTGTTGATGTATGATAATGAATACTTATTTGTATACTGTGAATGTGCATTTATTCGTATATGTGAGTATCATACATACATACATGTAGCGACAGTTTACAGCGATAAGCGCAGACCAACACTTGCAATAACGCACACGTGTGGCTTATTTTAACAGACGCAGACATAAGGGAGATATTAATGAAATCAGTTGGTTGGTGATCCCCAGTACGTCATCGCTGCCAACAATTGCTACACTGGAAAAAATAGATAGATTGTAAGATTTTTTCGTAATGCGACCTGTCGGCTACTAATTGCTGCATTTTGGAAGTCAGAAAATAAAACTCTTGTTGTCAGATATTATAAGACGTTGAGATCACTCTAAATATCCTTGGCGAGATGTACGAAAGTGTGTGCATTCAGTTATTTAATCCTTCATCTCGCAAAGGTGGGACTATCAGGAGGAAAGTGTTTCCGCTTTCTTACAAACAGTTTCTACAACTGGCTTCCGGTAGTATTCTCAATCCCAACGTGTGCATATCGATAGGGTAACGACAAGTTAGATATATTTTCTGCCCTTACAACAACAACTAACCATTCATTAGTAGAACGCATGAAGAGCGCGTAGCTCTGACATTTTCTCATTCTTGTTATTGCAGTCATTGGTATCGTTGCAATTTTTACTACGATAATCTGTGTTATGGATAGAGATAGGTGTAGAAGTTCAGTGAGGAAAGTTCCCTGAGCGCCATTCACTTGTGAGTACCCAGAAATGATTCTTTTACATATAGCTCAATCAGCTCACGACTGCCGGTCTTAGACGAAGTATTCTCTGGGTAGCCAAAAAACGTCCGTTTGATGGCGAATCATCCTTTCCTAGCGTTCTGCGTTAGCTTTGGGATTTGTCACATAAAAAGACACCGTCAATGAAAAGGACACAGCAGCAACTTTTAAGAGAGCTCCTTTTTGATTTAGGAAAGGAAAAGTATCAGCTGGAACGTTGAGGAGTGCCATGCCGCGGTGGAGAGTACAAAGACTGCCTAGCTCTGAGTGACTGCGAGTTGAAGAGAGAAGCGAGACTATTTTGAATACAAAAATAGAGAGAGGCCGAGATGCATGAGTACGAAGAGCTTGACAAGCTGGCGGACAGAGGCACTACAGAGGACTAGCAGAAGGTTTCAAGATCGGAGCTTACTCGTTTAGAACGTACCGAGGTGATCTAGGGATTGATGCTCAGAGTATACTGATATTAAGGAGGGAGCACTGCTCCGGTCTGCTGAATTTCAGAGAAAGCATAACATCAGGAGACTGGGAACCCGATTCCCCAATCCATGACTATGGGCTAAGCGTCTCATTGTCCGACCATGAAGTAGTTCCAATATCCGGGTGTCTTTAACCCGAAATTATTGACCATTTGGATAACTTTACTCCATATGATTGGTGATTGTATGTGAGATGCCTTAATAAAGCCCAGGAAACATTTTTGTTTATATGGGACATGACAATAGTATGTGCTATTGCCAAAAATACATAAAAATTTTACTGTATTTCATTGTACTTTGAACGTTCCAAGTTGCAAAAGTATAAAATGTTCGGTTAAAATCGAACTAAGGTCGTCCATATCAACATCCTCCAATTTAGGCTCGGAACTGTCATTAATAATAAGTTTATAGCCTTTCAAAGAGAATGTAACATTGCGGTCGATTTCATTTATGAAGATATGTGAATCAATAATTTCCTCTGCCCATAAACTAAATAAACAGTAATGTAATGGCGTCCAAATAATGGCTTTTGAATTATTCCAAATGGAATAATTTTGCTAATTTATGTATCAATTCTTCCGAGGGTTTTCTTCGACACACACAGCAGCGTAGCGTGTTCGATGCATACTGAACGTAGTCTCTGATGATACACATTATTCGGTTGAGTAAAAGTTGAAACCGATCTTTGGTTGCTCGAATTACCGACTCTACTGAGCGATTATGCCAGTCAAAAATTTAACTTTCCCCACGACAGTCGGGTCTACATAACCGGAACGGACCATGACCGTTTATCTGGTCAAGGACTGTCAACTAGGGAAAATTCTAACACAAACTTTGTTCCGGAGTAAGTTTTTCTTCATGAAATGAGAAACAGTTGTCAAAGAGACCAATAGCGAAAAAAGTATTGCCTCATTGAAAACCGCATGTCTAAAAGATACACTCTGGATTATTGATACTTCACGACTGTCAATCATATCAACTGTACATTGTACTTGTGAGTATCGGAAATATAAATATTTTTGACAAGAAACTCACGACAATTGGTGTTCATGGTATGGAATTTAATAGAAGATATTAAAGGTTAATGATTTTTAAATAGTCTGCCATAATTTTCTAAGATATTTATCATAAAAATCTTAATTTTTATAATAATATATTTTTCTCTTTATGAGTAAAGCTTAAGTATACGGATGCACTATCAAACAGACCTCCATTTCGAAACTCCCTACTTTTTGAAAGAAAAAAATACAAAAACTTCGAGTTTAATGGGGAAAGTTTATTGTCATTCATTTTTTGAAATTATATTTTCAAGAGTGTCTCTTTCAAATAATCTCAGATGATCCAACCGTTGAGTCCAATTTTCATTGACTCACGTGAAATTTTGCTGCAAGCCCTGAATTAAAGCGGGATTGTTCGCATAGACTCTATATTTTATTTATCTTCACAGAAAAAAGTCTAAGGGTGCGATATCATATTATATTGGCAGCCAATCGACCGGCCCAAAACGAGAAAATTCTCTGAATAAATACATTGATCTACGGAAATAGCGCCGTCTTGTTGAAACTAATGCCGTCGAGGTATCGGGAATCAATTTCAGTCATCAAATAGTCGATTACGATAACCGTCGCGATTGACGGTTACTTGCTCACCGGTATCATTTTTGGAGAAAAATTTGGACCGATGGTTCCCTCGGCCCACAAACCACACCGAACGGTTGTTATTTCTGGATGAAATGGCAGCTATTTACTCTTCGTCCCAAATGCGGAAATTTTACTTATTAATGTATCCATTGAAACAGAAATGGGTCTCATCGCTGAACAAAGTATGGTTCGAAACATCGAATCTTCAGGGAACTTTTCAAGGTCCGTAGAGCGAAGCGATGTCACTTGAGAAGATGGAGCGACTTCGCAACATGCTGGACGTGATCTATTCAGTGGAATATTATACAATAAGGAATGCTGGATCTCAAGATGGGTGATGGAGTTGTGAATAGTGAGCTCAGTAAGTAAGTTGAACGAAGGGTACGAAAGACATTCTTTACAGAACGTGAAAATAACCCGACTCAAGCGAGATCTGTTAAAAAGAGGCTGTTGTAAATAGTATCACTACTTGGATCACCCGTTAGAAGAAAGAATAAGGCATTTTGTGTTATAATCGTAGCGAATATTTTCAGCTTTCATCTTAGTTGTAAAAAAAATGAGGAAACCTAACTAGTTTCGGGATTTCATAAGAAAACATGAAATATTCTAAGATATACATAACTTTTTGATTTTCTTAACAATTAAAAATATTTACAAGAATACGATATTGTTGTTTTGTTTGACTTTTCACATAATAAAAGTTCGAATTTTACTACAACAACAACACTTAGCTAAATGCCCAAGTTATCGGCAAAGTATCGCTAATTAGTCTTACATGCGCGCCACCTGTAAGGTATTGGTTGGCAGGTGGCCGCAGAAATTGTACCACAGAGGCTGGGGACTGGGTTATTAGCGTTCGCATCTTAGCAACGGAGAGCATGCTAGCTCGGCAATTGTTGGCATCCTCATAATTTTTACATCTGCACTTTGGCATCGACACAGATTTGCCTGCGAGCAGCGATGGCACTCGATTTAGCTGTGAAAAGCGAAGCCGAAACGTTTGCTTTAATTTTCATTGGTTTGGTAATTGAGTTCGACCTTGAATGTAGTTGTATTTTGGTGCATTTGCTCCTGTCGAATTCGAAATGTAATTAACACTTTTCACGTTGTCCTCATTACATATCGACAAGTGCTATCCAATTAAAGTATTGCCACATTTTGCATGGTAATCGTAGACCGCCAGCGCTTCGCTTATATCAATGCTGACACTGCCAATTAATTTCAAGTTGATTGTGTTTATAAAAAAAACCAAAGATTTTAATTCTAGCGTTGACATAATTTGTAATTGGCATTCCAATTACCGTCTGCGGACCCTATAATCCCGCCCGTTGGTGTTATATAACATTTGGCGGCCTATCGATGGATTAAAGCGAATGTAAGAGATTTATTTGTCATTGTTTTGTGGTTTTGCGCAAACAACAATTAATTGTCAAACTGAAATGCGAGATTTAATTAAATTTAAAATGCAATTGTTCATTCATTGGTGGTATATCTTTTGTAGAATGTGTGAATATTTATGTAAATAAGGTGGAATTCGATAGTTATTTAATTACTTCCATTTCAAGCGAATGAAAATCTATGTATATGTACTTCCCTTTTGCAAACTCTAGAGTGAACTAACGGAATTAAAACGAGAGAAAACGTTCACTTCGGGCGATACGAGCTATTCAAATTCGGCAGCGAAGACCTAATAAGGAGCATACTTTCAGCTTTTTTGTAGAAAATGGTCGGACAAAATCATGCCTGGCTATTGAAATT